CCAGCCAACCAGCCAACCAGCCAACCAGCCAACCAGCCAACCAGCCAACCAAACGAATAATCCGCACCCCAATTTATTACTTATAACAAATTGAAATACGATGCATGGTATTACTTTATCAGTAATAAATAATAATGTTACTATACATACTTCTTTGTACAGGGTTTTATCGATATTGTCAAGATGGATATCGAGGGRGACGAATGGAAGTGTCTACGACAAATGTTGAAGGATGGAACTCTACGTCGTTATGTACGTCAGTTAAGCATCGAATTGCACTTGTTTTTCAAAAGCTCTCAACGACTAAGAAAGTATTATAGTATCGCTCGTTGGCTTCACCGACAGGGTATCAAGGTGTCGAGCCTACATCAAAACCCATATTGTCCAGATTGTCTAGAGATAAATTTCATAAATACAAGACTTCCCTATGATCGCGGCGGGAATTAAGATAACTACTAGAGCGGTTTTCGTATGACTGTGGTGAACGTGCTGCCATTTACGCATGCCTTGCCGCGAAGGCGATGTTTTATGGAATTTTTATTTCCTTTTTTTAATTTTTTTTTCTCGCGTAATGTGATTATTATGTGACAGTGCAATGGCCTTTGGTGGAACCATGTCCAAGTTGTATTCGTGCAATTTTCAAGTTCAGGTATTTGGTTGGATGGAGAGTAAAGCCTGGTTCACAAAAGAGCAACGCAAACGCAAGCGGAAGCAAAATTAGGTGTGGACTACAGAAACGCAAACGCAGTGAATGGAAACTTATTCATTCTATTGAACCCTTGCAGCACTTAGGTTCCAATTGTCAGGAGATTGGAATTCTTTTGTTTTGTCCCCCATATCGAGCTGCATGCTTTGACGTCACATGAATAGGATCTGTTGTGCTTGCGTTTGAATTTGCAATTGCGCTTTTAACGTGTGAACCGGGAAAAAAGCAAACGCAAACAAAATTTCTTCTATCTTCCGTCGGATCTGTTTTGTTTATCACTTGATCCATTTGATTGGCAGGTTGGATCAGTTGCAGGTGTCATAGTTGGTTTATGATGGTTGCTTGTATTTGATTGGTTGGATCTGTCTTGTTTATCACTTGATCCATTTGATTGGCAGGTTGAATCAGTTGCAGATGTCATAGTTGGTTTATGATGGTTGTTTGTATTTGATTGGTTGGATCTGTCTTCTTTATTACTTGGTCCATTTGATTGGCAGCCTCGGCTTCAGTGTATCATTCATGTCGAGTGGAGGGGCAATACGATTCTTACGAGCGAAAGGAAACATTTTCTTAACTTCATTTCTGAATCGGTGGTTTCTCCAGCCATATACTAAAGGATTTACTGCAGAGGAACAGCACATTAGAGTAAAGGAGCATTCTGTAGCAAGTTTAATGGTCGAGTTGAACATGATCAAAAGAGTTATGGGCAGAAAGGCCAACACAAACGTACCAACAATGACGAAGGCGGTTTTAGAGGCGTTGTTTTCGAACTCAATCTTCGCAAGCTTGTAGTTGAAAGACAGTGAGTTATTTTGACGGATAATTTTTTGCCTCTCTTTTCTTGATACGTAGAAGATTTTGGCATACATGGAAATAAACAGTAAAACGGCACAGATCCTGATATGAGGGGTGAACTGTTTGAAAATAGTCAATGTTCGCAGCACACCTTCGATTATTGACAGGACCCAGATGAAACCGATACAAAACAGGACATTCCTCTTGGACATAATGGACTTGTATCTCAATGGATAGAAGATGGCAACTACTCGATTTGCGGTCATTAAGAGAAGATTATTGAGCGATGCATAGAGCGATGTTGAAGTAACAATATAGTAGAAGACCATAAAGTGCTTGCTGGTAAAACCAATCAAACTGAGGACATAAATAGGCTGAGTGAAGACACAGACCAGAAGATCTGCTATAGAAAGACTGACGATACAGAAGTTGACTCCTGCTTGAAGAAGAGGGTTTTTCCACACAGCCAAGCAAGTGACTGTATTGCCAATGATACCAAGGACACCGAACAGGACATTGACAACTGCAAGTATGATGACAGCAAGCAACCCTATCTGACCTTCAACTGACGATCGATCGGCCGCCATATCAAGAGTTCCAACAATATTGGTTAAAGTTAATCGAAAAATCTCCAAAAAACGATAAAGAACACCAGTGAGTAGAAGAGTTAGGCAACTGCGAAGTCTGTGAAGAAGTTCTTCTGCATTTCCTATATATATTTTTATATCTTTATTCTTGTGGTTCCATTAGGAATGACAATATTAGATACGGAAATTAGGATAAAACGAGAAAAGAAAAGAAAAATGAACGCATTAGTTTTTCTTTTCTTGGGTTTTTTTTTTAAATTTACTAAAACGATAGAACTCAATTCAATCTGCATGTTTACTAATGTGCTCTATTGTTGGATTCTGCACGTTTATCTACACCAAAAAATAGCTCCTAGTCTGGATAACTGTGTGTTATATAACGGGAAAAAAGATTCGAACATATCATCTCTTTTATTTGTAAAAGCGTAAGAAATTTTAGTTTCCAGTTACTAGTAGATGCTTTAGCGCCTATTTCTCGCCATGCTAATATGGCCGACACCTGGACTCATTTTGAATTCACTTTCTAACCTAAACACTAAGTACATTCAAATAATCGATAAGAATAATATGAACAAAGTTAGAATGCTTGCTGTGAAAATTCGGTTTAGAATTATTAGCTATGAGAATTTAAAATCATGCAGGGCAAAAAAAAGAAAAAACTAGTCAGTCCTTCATAGTTTTAACTTTAAAAAACGCGTACAGCTCAAAGTTTAGCGAAGAAAAATAAGCACCAGGTTAGGAAAGAATAATCAAAAAAAGAGCAAAATCTCAATGAAGGTATTTGAAATATATTTTCTGGTCAGAATAGAATTTATTAACGTAAAACCATGATCATCTCGGATTCTTTTGTCTTCCGAGGGCTTTACAAACCCGAATTTTCCGCAGCATGCATAGAACATGAGGAAGAATTAGAAGACAAAAAAATATTTTTCCTTTATTTTAGCAGCGGTTGTTGTGACAGTGGGACCCGGAAATAAGCCACAACTTAAAAGCTCTATTGTGAATAATATAACCAGGAGAAAATAAGTAGTCACGGAACCCAGGTCTGGGGAGGTGGGGGGAGGGGGTTCCGAGAAACGAAAGGTACTGACCAAGCCGGGGGGGGGGGGGGAAGGGGGGGACTCCGGGAAAAAAGTACCGGGGATGCTCGCCGGAAATTTTCGAAAAGACCCATAAAAGATACCGGAAGTCTTTAAAAAAGGGCGTGGCTGAATGATTTTTAACCCCTAAGAGATACCACAAGATATAATATTTTGAAGTTATCTCGAGTAGTAATTATTTTTCTTACACTAGGCATCTGGCCTATAAAAAGCGCCTAGGATAAGCCATATCGATGCACGCTTCTCTCCTTTTCCGACACCCTAAGAGATACCAGAAAATGCTGAATTTCAAAAATTCGCATTTAACACCCTAAAAGATTCCAAATCGCGAACTTTTACCCCTAAGAGATATGACGAGCATCCCCGGTACTTTTTTCCCGGAGTCCCCCGTCCCCCCTCCCTCCCCCCCTCCGGGTGACCAAGAAGAACGTGGGCTCTGGGTACGAGATTTTAACTACTATATCTTAAGCCAATTGACAGTTAAGGTGACTGCCTACTTTTGGAGAGCAATTTCAATTTTTTTTTAAAACTTCGATTTAGTTCCGAATTGAAATTTAATGCTGATTCCAAATCTGGAAAGAAAAATAGGGTGTCCCGAGTTTGTTTTCGAGATAATCAGCATTTAATGGAAGCCTACGCGCGAGCTTTTGGAGCAAAAATTGCGCCAGCCGGAAGTGATTAGAAAAAATTAAGATTCATAAGATAATAGTTAATTGCAGTCTCTATGATTGCACGAATGAAGGCTAGTCAATCATTCTACAATAATATGTGGATATTTTCGACAAAAAGACAAAGAGATACATYGATTTGTCATATTTTGTAGTTTTGGTGCTCTTAAAAATCTCATAAAGTCGAAAAAAATTCCCTACAAAAATCTATTTTTTCATGTGTTAGAATATTTTACTTTTTCTAAAATGTTGATATAACCTAGATTTTTATGAGTTTATTCAAATAAGCCATTAAAAAATAGAGAGTCCCGTGCAAAATTTGTGGGTTTTGCCATGTTGAAGCTCAAAATGTGTATGTAGATTTTTCAGCGGTTCTTTTTTTTGAGCGCGCGCATCGTGGGTTCAAATCGAACGTTCAAAAGAGCAAGTCCTTAAAGCGGCCATCTTGCCAATTGAAACCGAAATTATGTTTCCAAATATGGTATCGAAACTAGTAATTTGCATATCTGAATATTTCAGAGCATGGTTACTCGTTCAACGTTTCAACTCTCTTATGAGTTTAGCCTGCGTGGCGACTTTGAGGGGGAGGGGATTGGGGAGGATGGGGAGTTCTGATATCAGTTAACTCTTAACTGTTCTAAAATTAAGCCAGTTTTAACGCTTTTTCCTCTACTCTTATTTCTAACCTTGTAGAAAGGGGAAGCGTTAATGAAACTGCCGCTGAAACTGGCTCAATCAAAAATCTAACGTGACACATGGCGAAAGAGGTACTATTTTTCAAAGGTCAGCTTATTCTCTTACCAGACCCTTCTCACCAAAAATTCGAAGGCTCTGGTAACACACAAACCGGAAGACCCAGATTCTAGGTCGTCAGATATGCGCATGCTCCACTTATTCTGACTTCCGGTATGAATTCAAATCGTTTTGTTTTGTTTTTTTCTTCAAACGAAAAAACAATCAAGCTTATTTATACATTGCCTATCATTGGAAAAAATTGCCCATACATTTGGAATATTTGCTCTTTTCGGTCTTTTTCCTCTCTTTCCAAAGCAAAAGGTTGTTTTTAAAAGTAAAGTTATATAGCACAAGTAAACTGCGTCACAAAACAACCTACGCGCGCACGTAAACAAGCACTACGAGGAACGCCTGTCATATCTTAGATTACGTGCGATAAAATCGAAGATAAACCAACACAATCAAAATTTTAACGTGCTCCCTTGCACGGCCCCGGTTATGTCATGCAACTCAAAAAGTACATCCTAATGATCCGTAAATCTTCTTTTCTTTCGCTAACTAGTAGTTAGCGTGTTTTCGAGACTACGAAACCTAAGAAACCATAAGAGGCGAATGTATAGGCCAACAGGTAGTATGAGCTTATAAAATCAGCAAAAATACGGTTCTAAATTTTAACAAATTCCTATTAATTATATACCAAAATGTTCAGGAAAGCCCGGGGTTTTCAAATCCACTTCTGTTTTTTTTTTGTTGACAGGTTCTGTTTTATATCAAGGAGAGACGATTTTCTAGCTCGACCCAAGGGAGCACATTAAAATTTTGTTTGTGTAAGGAAAGGTATTGTTCTTGGTTGATCTATCTAGCGCGCGCAATCCATCATGTGACAGGCGTTCCTCGTAGTGTTTTGGTTTCGGCCGATCCGAATGGCCTACGATCGTGTAAGGAAGGGAATGACGAGTGTAAGCAAGACATTCGTCGGTTTTCGGAGTAAATTCACTAGCCCGACTAAAGCAAGGAACGTTTGCCATAAAGTGTAGCGCGCGCACGTAAACAAGCACTACAAGGAACGCCTGTCATATCTTAGATTACGTGCGATAAAATCGAAGATAAACCAACACAATCAAAATTTTAACGTGCTCCCTTGCTCGACCCCGGTTATGTCATGCAACTCAAAAAATACGGTGGTTTTTTTCAATAGAATTCAATCTAAATCCGTATAATACAGTTCGTGAATAGTTGAATTAACTGAATCCGCTTCTGTTTTTTTGCCTAGATAGTCATTATTTTGAGAAAAGATCCAAAAACCGTGTTTTTGAGACATCATTTGTATGGGCTCACATGAGGGGGCGTGAGCTTGAAATCGTAGCTGACCAAATGTTAACAGATTTTTTCTGATGGAACAGTTTACTTGTCTGTGATTAACATTCAGAAAAATAAATTGAATTTAGCGAGACAAGAGATGGTGTACGGTAAAATATTTAAATTTCAACCATTGACTGTAAAATCAGCAAACCAGACACAGATGATTATGCAAAAAATTTAAACCAATCAAATTAACGGTCGATTTGTGCATTGCCGGAGACTTCGATTTTGCGTTAGAAAGCTGAGAAGGCCGGCTTTAGGTACGAGAATGAGTTGCAGCTAAAATGTTATACCTTTATTTAACATTTTGACGATTTTGTTGAGGATTTTAAGGAGCGCCATACATTTTTTAAACATTTAAATTATAATATGACACCATATAAACCTAGCTTGGGCTACTTGTGGTCAGAGGAGCTATTCTAGGGCCAAGTTTACATTAATGCGTTTTCGAAACGCTTAGCGCTTGGCCGAAAGTTTCGCGTCCACGTACCATAGCGTTTACATGGCGTCAAAACGACAAAAATGCAAATACAATCGCCAATAAAGCAATATCGTCAATTGAGCATGTGAAAAACAGGCTTGCCGGTGAGAATGACGTTAGCGTTTTCAAAAACCTTCGTTTTCACCTGTCCATATCACGAGAGGCCTTTGTTTTCAAATTTCAATATTCTGGATTAAAACCATCGAAACGTATGCGGACGGGAATACATTAATAGTGGACGGGACCTGGGTCACTCCGGTTTGGATTTGGCTCGGTTGCTCAGGGTTAGCCTCGATTTCCTGTAGAATCATTTGTGTTTTGAATATTCATGTGTTCCAGCGAATGTCCGTGGAATTTCAAAGTGTTTTTATAATAGTTTATTAAGTTGTAAAGTCTTAACTTTAACATTGGCATTGCGAATATTTAGAAGTCTGAGTAAACGAGTCTGCGCGCAATCAAGGAACACAGCGGTATTTGTCCAGAATTCAAAAACTGTTGTATAGTATATAAATAAAACCCATAGATCAATAGATTAGACGTGGGAATACTTGATAAGAAACAGCACTAGTTCAGGAAGCTATTTCTTTAAATAAAAGGGTCATAAAATTCGGAAAAAAATCCCTCTCGAATGCCTTTTTTCGTAGTTGAGGCGAAGATTGATCTACGATAATACTAACCAAATGGGAAAACAAAGCAAAAACACAGCCAAACCTTTTTTTACGTTATGTGGAAATATATTAATTTAATTAAGGAAAACTTCCCAAATTTTATTTTTACCTCTGGGGTTTCAGGTTCGATTCCTGGACTTGGCAACACATGCTGCTTCCCTGATTCGAAGGTTTTTCTCTGAGTTCTCCGGTTTTTCTCCTTCCGCGAATCCTCACGCACTAAATTCTTTCATCTGTGAGTCAACCATGCCCCGATTAGATCAGCTCATTAGGTGGGAGGTGGTTGTTTCAGGGTTTAATCTGTGAGTCAACCATGCCCCGATTAGATCAGCTCATTAGGTGGTTGTTTTCAGGGTTCAACCTGTGAGTTAATCATGCCCCGATTAGATCAACTCATTAGGTGTTTGTTTTCAGGGTTCAACCTGTGAGTTAATCATACCTCGATTAGATCGGCTCAGAGGTTGTTTCAAGGTTAGATCTGTGAGTTAGCCATGCCCCGACTAGATCATCCCAGAGCGGTCCTTTCATGGTATCGATAAAAAAAAATGTAAAATTTGAAATAACAAAGTTATATTGAGATCGATGTTCAGTCTCAAGTATCGGAGCACCCAAGAAGAGGAGTGACCTGCTTGAAGTCATTCTTGTCATTATTGGCTGAGTAGCTTTCCAAGATGTTCGACTGCGGCGATGAGATTTCTTCTAGTCTTCCAGACTGATCTCTTGGTATGCGCTCCTTCTCGAGTGTTTGCTCTGTAGGTGATGATTTTTGTGGGTTCAATGTGCCTTGTGAATAAGAGATCGTCGCCCGCGAAAGCTTCTTCGTTGATCTCTTAACTGCCACGCAATGCCGTAAAATCCTGGCGTACTTATCCCTAAAGTAGTCATCTAACGCGCCATAAATGATAGGATTGGAACAGCTTGATACCCAGACCATCAAATAGCAGTATTTCAGGGTTATCTCAAAATATGGGAAGCTCAAACCGCTTCCAAAATCCATGGCAAGAAAAAGAATGTGCTGAGGGAGATAACTCGTGGCGAAGATGATGACAACGGCGATCAAAACTCGTAGACTTTTCCACCGTAACTTCTTGTCAGTATTGTTGAAAGAGTGCGACTTCTTAAGGGTACTCATCATTTTGATATAAGTAGGAAAAATAACCATCAAAGGAAAAAGATAGGTGCAGACGAATAAAAACATCGTGTACGATTGCCTGTATTTTTGGTGCGGCCATAATTCTCTACATTGGAATTTTTGACTTGCATTGTCGTGGAATTGGTAGGCGAATATTTCTGGCGAGGCCGAAACGAAGGCAAAAATCCAAGCCATTCCCAACATTGTTAGAACTTTTTTCTTAGGAATTTGAGCTTTGAGGGGTTGTACAATAGCCTGATATCGCTCGTAAGTCATCACAGTAAGCGTAAAAATAGATGCACTTACACTTGTTACCTGTAGCGTTGGAACGAGCTTACACATGAACGCACTGAACGGCCAGTTACCAGTTTCGTAGTAAACAACGGTGAAAGGAATGCAGAGCAAGGCCACAGCTAGGTCGGCAAAAGCAAGATTCATCAGAAAATATCCATAATAAAACCTTTGCATGCTTCTAAGTTTTCGATTGTTTATCACGACTGTGCAGACCAGGACATTTCCTCCAACGGTTAATACGAAAACTATGGCGTAGAGAACAAGACGAAAAATTCTTGAAGCGTAAGGCTCTGGCACTTGGCTGCTCAGCTGATCTTGGTAAGAATCGGTTGTAAAGTTCATTTTGAAGGCTCAAAACTACAACGCATCAAACCACAAGCATCAAACTTTTTTCTTGCGTCATTTGGTGCCAAAGACTATTCAATTTTTTGCTGTTAATGGCACCGAGGGAAAAAGCTTTTTCCGTTGCTGTCACTACTGCATTAGTTCATTTTAAAGTCTCCTAATCTTGAACATCCAACTTGCCTTCCTTTCTGGTTACGTCAATGGATCAGTACTAGGCATCTTATCGCTGTCAGTGACACTTAGTTTCTTAAGAAGCTGTGATAAAAGCATTAAGTGACCGGAAAAGTGCACTTGTAACGTTATCTGTCGATATAGTAGGCTTTCAAAGATTTCCTGATAATTTTAGATCTTAATATTGGTTCTGCATGTCAGATGATATGGGTATTGAATTTAGATCGATACATGGTTTAAGTATAGAAATGCCTTAGGTCTAGCTTATTTAATGGAGCCTAGTAAAAGTGTTAGACTTCTTAGCTACTTTTTAATTGACGCCTTTTTTCTGGGGAAAAAGGGAAAAAATACGAAAAACCGATTCAAGAAAGGACACTGCAGACAGACAAAAAAGAGAAACTAACGTACAAACACAAAAGACATCAACAACAACCACAACACAACAACAACAACAACAGCGACGACGACGACTACAACAACAACCACAACACAACAACAACAGCGACGACGACTACAACAACACAACAACAACAACAACAACGACAACAATGACAACAACAACGACAACAACAACAGCGAAGACGACGACAACAACAACAACAACAACAACTGAACAACAACAACAACACAACAACAACAACGGCAACAACAACGACGGAAAACAACAACGACAACAACAACGACGACATGCCGTACAACAAAATTAGCAGCACCATTATGTAGAATCCGGCTTTCCAATCGCTTTCCAACAGAATGAAATAGTGAACAGATTTATCAAAATAACTTGGCCTCCGTCATTTCAAACTTCAAATTCTTATAACCCATAGTTGTTGTGATAAAGGTTGTCCTATGAAAAAGACTAGAAAATACCACAAGAAATATCGCATGATGATTTCTTTGTTCGTCTTATTTAAACGATATGTAATCTGTTTCACAACTTTATAATGTGTAACAATGAACAAATAATGATCATTATGAACTTTACTTTGATTACTGTATCGAGCACAGAGCAAGCGTATTAGGTCAATCACGTGACATTGCTTTTGGTGTAAATGTTTATTTCGGTGGACAACGTTTAACGTTCATGACATTGACTGTATAAAGTATTTTGCTCAATTTAACCGATGCGGCAGTGGCTATAAAAAAGCTTAATTGGATGATGTATGGATTCTCCAGAGCATGTTAAGCATGTTCGCAAAGGAACTCAATGATCTTGACGCCAAAACATTCAAATCTTTATCAATTTAAAAATGATCATGAACCTCCTTCGAACAGAGCTGATCTGGGAACTGCTCCAAGGCTAGAGCCCTGTTTCTATCGATGTGAAGGGATAATGTTGTCAATATATGGTAATCTTTGCCGCTCGCTCTGATCATTCAATGCAAAACCGCATATATTCAAAGGATGTTCTTAAGCCGCATTAACCTTTTTCCATGCAGAATTGCTCCTAGCTTTAATTTCCAAGGTCATACTTTAAGTGCTTTTTGGGCCGTGACGTTATGAAAATCTTTTGTTTATGAATTTTTATATTAAACAGTTAGGTCTCGTTGCTATATAAGGACTGCAATGGCCGCTCGCCCTGCCCTAAGAGTGTGTGCTATAAACGAACCACAGTAGTCTGCTGGTTCCACTGGTTGAGTATTGAGAAAACTGCAGGGCAAACTGCTGAATTGGCTGACTTGGCATGAAAATCTCTCTCCCGTCAAGCTGTCCGTGAGGAGAAATTTAGGCAAAATTTAACAGTGTAATAAGGAACGGAGAGAGTGCGAAAGAAAAAAGAGGGAATGAAAAGATGAGAGAAAGAATAACAAAAGGAATAAGAGAAAGAGAGACTAGAAAGAGAGAGACGAGAGAAAGAGAGAGAGAGAGAGAGAAAAGGAAAAAGAAAATGGAATGGAATGGAAAGAAAAATTATTATTATTATTATTATTATTATTATTATTATTATTATTATTATTATTATTATTAAGAAAGGCGGATGGATGGAAGACAACACAATCTTTTGCGGATTTTTATTCAAATATCACACTGATCAATATGCGTCCACTTCCATTCGTGTCCTAATTATCTAACGACATCCATCGTGCCCATCATTCTTTAGATCTCATGGTTATAAATCTGTCAGCAGTACTTACGCGAATGAACTAGGCCTAGATCGAAGATAAACCAGTGCTAGTGTTTTTTTGATCTTTGAGATAAAGAGCATGCCTTTCGATCGCCTTATGCATGAGTGGGAAAACATCATATCAAGCTTTACTCTATATGTTAGTGTCGAAGTTGGAGTAGAGAAAGCTCACTCCAAATATTATAATATGGTATGATCAATTCCATATTTGGATTGTGCGGAAAGGCGGCAAACAAAAAGGCCGTCGTTTCATAACGAATTCGACATGAACATTTTTGAAGAAGAAAAGAAAAGAAAAGAAAAGAAAAGAAAAGAAAAGAAAAGAAAAGAAAAGGAAAGTATAGCTTTTTGGAAGATTGAGGAAGGATACGGGRACGATGCTAACTCKTGGGTCTGCCTCGCAGACAACAGACAMAGGGAAATACGACACTTAATGTTTGATATGGCGTAAGGTACTATAAAACGTACGTATACGGTACGAAATACCGTGACATTAAAATGGCTTCTTATCGGCATTCAAGTGAATTATCCAATCACGACGTGTAGGTAAGCACGCGAATAGGGGAACTGATACAGTGCGGCTAGGAATTGACCGTCATCATTAGGTCGATTAAACTTTAAAGTGTTTGTTATGTTATTGTGTTATTAAGTGACGCTGTCTTTACAATGTTCAGTGGGTAATTCTGTATAGAATATTGACACTAAGATAGGGTCAACTCCTGAGTAACTAGTCTTCTCGATTGCGGATTCTGGACAGGCATTTTATTACGGATTCCAAAAGGGATTATGTGAGCTTGGGTCACTAGATAAAGAGATCAACAGGGATTGAATCAATTTTGTTTTATCGATATATGATACCAACTAGTATCTTGCGTGGATTACGATAGGCTATCGTCATAGTGCTGCTATAAAGCTATTTCAAAAAGGGTTGGTAAAGGGTTTGGCACATGGCGGCATGTTGCATACTAATCCCGAATTGCACTATGGGCAATGTTAATATATGTGATCAGCAAAATGACGTAATAATATGAAAGTTTCGGAGAGGAGAGGAGAGGAGAGGAGACGAGAGGAGGAGAGAGAAAAAACCAATACAACACGAATGTGAATGATTCTTTTTTTTTTTTTTTTTTGATTATTGGGGTGAAACGATTTAGCAAATTCGTGTCATAAAGATTTCTTTAACTTTGTACAATAGGTGCATAGAAATAGTTATGCCTTCAGAAGAGTGTGTTCTAAAATTACAAGTTAAAAGTGAAATAGTCGATGGTTTGCCATGAAAAAAGCACTGTATAAGTATTTCATCCCTCACCATTGAAAATATCTAGGCATTCAGAAAAGAAAGTTTCAAACATTGCAATGCCTGTTGGGAAGAAATGGTGGATTACTACTGAAATATATATCGGCTTTCCTGCATTCTGATTGGCTGTTTGAAAGGAGTGGGATAAAGAATAACATACAAAGTATGGCTGTCTTATGCGCAGCTAAGCGTGAGGAGGACGTGAGTAAGATCAAAATGCTACTGATTCCGAGGCCATCTCGTACGCAGAGCCCTTCAGCGCATTCCTGCTTTGTCGTCAGCGCCTGTACGCTGACCGGAAAGCCGGGAGACTCTGGGCTCGAGATTGATTCCGAGGTTGAGGAAAAAACTGGGTCGAGTTGACATTGGAGTGCACTGTGACTGTTTTAGGTGTGGAAATAGACGCCATCTTGGAAATATGTTCCCTAAAACAGTCCCACGATCAACTGCAATACCAACTCGACGCATTGTTTTTCCCTAAGCCTCCGAATGGCTTATGCAAAACTCTATTCCGCATCGCATTTAGTAATTTTCTGTCTTTTAAGTTTGGAACATAAATAGTCCTTTTCACCTTGCGCGTAATGTTTGTTTTTTTTTTCATTTCAGAGCACTTGTCATTCTTTTGAGAAGAAGATTCTTCGCTTGAGTTGTATCCATATTCATGTGTCTTCTCTAGCGCAACCATTAAATGATGAAGGAAAGATACTCTAACATTACGTCCAAGGTAAAGAGGTCTATGAATCATTGACCAGTACCAGGAAATGTATTATATGAATACCAAAACACTAATACATACTTCAAGTACATTATGTAGGTTTTAAAATGAATGAAGACGCCAAACTAATCTAGTCATAAATACTGATATAGTTAACGAAAAAAACCAATCACAATCGAAAAGAAAACAGAGAAAAAGAAAAAAATCTTTAAACTGTTTTAAAATAAATAAATAGAATGAAAAAATAAAGAAGAATAAAAAAGGGAAAAACGAAAGAAAAGGAAAAGGAAAACAAGAAATAATAAACTTGTTAGAAAGTTGAAATTCCACACCAGCTGTTCAGTTCTCTTATGTCGGGGACTGGTAGTCCAAAAATTCATTGTAAAACTCCTTAAAAGCTTTCCTACAAAGAAAAACAAAAATAATTGATTTTAATCTATGATCGTAGACCAACGTTCAATTCATTCAACTGACGTACGTAGATTGTGTGCGCAAAATATGAGTGCGTTTAACGTAAATTACGTGCACAAAGTTTAAGATCTTTTAGAATTATCATAATAATGACTACCAAAGGCAACATCCTCATCGTCACATAAACCCATGATCAAAGTACATCGTGTGCGCAAATTTGTCTGTATTCAAAGTGCGCATGCAAAGTTTAACTTATCTTGTAGAACGATAGCGCAAAAATATTATTAGACCCATTTAGCATCATCAACTTAGATCAACATATGTACGATGTATATCTGGCGCGCAAACTTATCTTTAAGGCTCAGTGCAGACTTGAGCGCATAAAACTATATGTGTTCATTAAAGATTGTAGATCAGCATAGACTGCACACATAATACTATCTGTGATCAATGAAGATCGTGCACGCAAACTTATCCCTGTAGACCAGGATAGACTGCGAACATGAAGTCAATGTTAGCGCCCACTTTTTGTACTACAGTTTCAAAATACGTGATCAGAATGATGGAACAAGTTTCTAGGATACTAGATAAATGTACTTTATATATTTACCCAATAGCATAAGCAACTGGCTCGGTGGAAAACTCAGACATGAAGACATGGCAAGCGAAACGACTTTCTTCAGGATGCTTGGTAATAAAAGCAAAGTACCTGAAGAAAAAATACATTATTATTTAGTCATTAATGCTTTAGTTTTCCATATAAGCAAGATGAGCAGTGCTATTCTCCGCTTTCCTTATTAATGCGTCTTGTTATTAATTATTGGAAAAGGATTTTGGTTCTAGGGAAAAGAATTGAACAGCAAAATGATAAAAAAAGGGGGGAGGGAGAAGAAAGAGGAAGTAGAAAAAAAAAAAAAAAAAAAAAAAAAAAATGGCGTACTCTAAATTCATCCAGAAATTTGACAAAATCAGTATTTCTTTTGTCGCTGATATAAGATACCTTGAATTGTTTGGATGGCAGCCACAAAATGTCACATTTTTCAAGTTAAAGAAGTGGCAAGATTCTGGAAGGTCCTGATGTAAAGAGAGAGAAATAGTTGGTTAGTTAAGACGGTATTGGTAAAGAAGCATCTTTGACGTTGGTAGCTCTTTGAACGGGAAGTGTTATTTCAGGGGAACAAAAATGACGCCACAAAGAAAGAAAGCAAGAAAGAAAACAATGAACAAATGAAACTGAAAGAAATGAAAACAGAACAGTCGAAGGACAAACGAAAGAATGAAGAACCGACTGAAAAGATAACTAGATGAATAAATAAAATACATTAAGCTAAAGTCAATATGTAAACTCCACAGTAGGCCTTTTGCAACAAACAGTCACATGCTGATATATGACTTTGATAACGAATCAATTCAGCTCAAGGTCCCTTGGGGAAGGCTCTGCTGGATGGCAAACAAANACAAAACAAAACAAAACAAAACAAAACAAAACAAAACAAAACAAAACAAAACAAGAGAGAAGAACAAAACAAAAACCATCTTGTCGCTGATATAAGATACCTTGAATTGTTTGGATGGCAGCCACAAAATGTCACATTTTTCAAGTTAAAGAAGTGGCAAGATTCTGGAAGGTCCTGATGTAAAGAGAGAGAAATAGTTGGTTAGTTAAGACGGTATTGGTAAAGAAGCATCTTTGACGTTGGTAGCTCTTTGAACGGGAAGTGTTATTTCAGGGGAACAAAAATGACGCCACAAAGAAAGAAAGCAAGAAAGAAAACAATGAACAAATGAAACTGAAAGAAATGAAAACAGAACAGTCGAAGGACAAACGAAAGAATGAAGAACCGACTGAAAAGATAACTAGATGAATAAATAAAATACATTAAGCTAAAGTCAATATGTAAACTCCACAGTAGGCCTTTTGCAACAAACAGTCACATGCTGATATATGACTTTGATAACGAATCAATTCAGCTCAAGGTCCCTTGGGGAAGGCTCTGCTGGATGGCAAACAAAYTTTAAACTGCTTCGTATCTTGAAATCGAAAGTATCTTATAAGGGAAAAAAGTGTTTTTGAAAAGGATTTGGGATACGACATTGGTAATCCAGCAAAAAATCCAATACCCATCACATGTCAATCTATTGCAAAATGCCTATTGACCCCTTTCATGTGACGTCAAAACAGCTCGATCTGGGGGACAAAACAAAAGAATTTCAATCTCCTGAGAATTGGAACCTACTGTTCTGTCCCCGAGATAGAGCTGCATTCCAAAGTGCTGAAAGTGGTCTATAGAATGAATAAGTTTCCATTCACTGCGTTTGCGTTTGCGTTTCCGAGTTCACACGTAATTTTGCTTCCGCTAGCGTTTGCGTTGCTCGTGTGAACCAGGCTTTACTCTCCATCCAACCAAATACTTGAACATGAAAATGGCACGAATACGACTTGGACATGGTCACAGCAAGGTCACTGCACAGCCACAAAATAATCACATTACGCGAGCAAAAAAATAAAAAAAAAAAGCTAATGAAAATTCAAGAAACATCGCCATCGCGGCAAGGCACGCATTACTCACACTTTGATCTTTATCAAATAACTTGGTGATTTTATTCCTGCTTGGCTTCTTCCCGCTTAATGGCTGAAAACAGCATTGCAAAACGTTATCAGAATGCAAGCCATTTCTCTACTAACTAAAATTTATACCATTTATAAACACCTATTTCAAAAAACGTTGTCGTTCGGAGATCTGAAATCTGAGACCGAAAGGAATTGTGGGTTGTAAGCTGTAAATTGTTTTGTGGTTTTAAATAGTAGTTCGCAAAAAATTAATATATTGTTATACTAACTTTGAGCGGTGATCTGCGCTGGCAAACTATCTGGGTAAGTGTATATTGGATTTTTAACGAGAAAACACTCAGTTCCCCACAATTCCAATTAGTCTCAGATTTCTGATTTCAGATATCCGACCAACAATGTTTTTTTAAATAGGTGTATACGAATCAAAGGTGGTGTAGTTGTAGTTCATTTGCCTCTGCATGGCTAGCTCACTTTTGGGGTCTTGAGTTCGATTCCCCAGTGAACTTGGCATCGCATGTCACATGTGAGTAGAGTAACTGTTGGGTCTCTCCCTTGATTCAGGGGTACCCCCCCTCCACAAAACCTAATAAACCTTAGAAAAGAATAATTCTCAAGGGAATGTCATGTGATCTAAACTGGGTAATTTACATAAAAAGCTAAAAAGGTCTCTTCCAAATTGATTAAATACTGTATTGACTAAATGTGAAGGTTTGAACAATTTCAATACCTTTGATAGCTGCCCTTGATGCTCTGTTATTTTTATTCCTCTGATACTGATGTCAAGTGTGCAGTAGGGAGGACTTGACTCTGATGCCATCTGATGTTGCTTCACTATCTGAAGTCCATGTTACAAAATGCATTGTTAAAGTAATTAGTAATATTTGAAAGTGAAGGAAGGAAGGAAGGAAGGAAGGAAGGAAGGAAG